CAGGCAGCGGCTGCTGGCCACCGTGCCAGTGATAGCCATGGGTAAACTGTCCCCCAAATTACTGGGGACCTGCTCAAGCTGTATGGGTCTGTCTCATAGTACCCATGTTTGTCCCCAGAGAGTTGGGGGATCTGATATATCCCCCAGGCTGTCCCTGCCCCACGCCCACCCCATGGCCTCAGGGCTCGGGACAGGGTGAACGGAGAGCGAGCAGGGAGCTGCACCCACGGACACTTCCGATGTTACTTACCGTGTTTGTTCTTCTTCTGCTCCTCTTCCAGCCCTGGCACACCCGGGATGCCCAGGAAGGTGTTATGGGAGTTCCCGTACCAGACCAGCAGCTCTTGGTCTGGAGGAATCATCTGGAAAGAGAGATACAGACGGGGGTGTCGGGAGGGGTGATGAACAGCTCCCCGTGCATCCTCAGCCGGTCGCTTCAGACCAGCACTGGCCATTTCCCTCTCCTGAAAGACCCTGCTGCCATCGGGGACCTGCCAGGGGTCCCCAGCCCACCCAGGCAGGCACGGAACCCCCAGGCTGCAGCGCTGGAGGTGACGGCACGGCTCAGCACCATCCTTCACCGGCACGAACCTGCACCGGGGTCTGCCCCAGGCTGGGCCACAAACAACATGACGGGCAAATAAGCAGCTGCAGAGCATGCAGACGGAGCTGGGGTCTCTGGGGTGAAGGACCCGGGGGTCCCTGCAGCTCGAGGTGACAAGGACACGGCGGCACACAGAGACACGGAGAAATGAGCCGTTTGTGGAGCCATGAGCTGCAGCCAGGCACAAGCGGCAGAGATGGAAGCAGCGAGTCATGGCAGGAGCGCCGGCTCAGTGCTCCTGCAGAGCGTTTTGGCTCTGGACAGAGCTGTCAGCACCCTCTCACTGCCAGGCACAGGCAGCATCTCCCAGCCAACCCCAGTGGGCTTTATTTTAGCCTGGGGAAAGGCAGGTGGGCCAGCGAAGGGCTCATCAGCCCCAGGATCAGAGGAGAGTTCGGGTGCAAGATGCTGCCTACAGCCCACAGCAAAGCCACGGTGCCCGCAGCAGCCGAAGGAAAGCTATAAAGGCAGGGAAGGGTTTGCACCACCCACGCTCCCATTTCCCTGAAACCACAGCACTTCTCCCTCCCCCGTTGTTCCCGTTATGTCCCTGCACTGCCGGGGTGGCCAGGGCGAGCAGCCAGGAAACGCCGTTCAACCCTCCCTGTGTGGAGCAGCCGTGGCCAGGGAGACAGATGCTCTCCCACTGGGTCAGACAACACTAATAACAACATCGCTTAAAAAAAAAAAAAAAAAAAGAAAAAAGCGCAGCTTTTCCTTCACAGGTCCCTAATGTTGAGAACCTGATTTGAAAATGGAAAAGTCCCTCTTTTCAGAGGATGGCTTTCCATACACAGAGTAGTCCAAGAAAAACATCTTCACCATGGAACATAGATCATAAGATAGATCACCGGAGCGCTGAAAGTGTGCCTGATTTTAAGCACCTGAAAGCAGGGGGAATTTGACTTTAAGTGTCTGTCTGCATAGAGACCTCACTGGGGCTGCAGAGCAGGAATTGGGCAACAGAGGAAGCCGACTTAATTTTGCATCCCAAATTGGTGCTGTTTCTTGGTGTCATTTTCTCTTAATAGAAAATTATAGAAAAACTATTGTTAATACAAGCAAATAGAATAAAATACCACCAAAGGGATAAAGCATACTGCGTGTGTGCATAGGTGTGTATGTGCGTGTTTGTATTCTGCTGGAGCTGGTGCACGTATGCCAGCAGCGGGTGAGCGCTCATGCAGACACCCCAAAGCATTTTAAATTGCCCCCCAGGAATCTCGTGGCCTTCGGATCAAAGGCCCAGACTCGCTGCTCTCCCTTGATTTTCCAGCAGCAACAACTTGGAGTTGCTGAGGAAGAGGATGGGAAAAGCAAACGAGCAGGTAAGGGCAGGAACAGGCAAATCACGTAGAAATAGTAAAGGTGAATAGTAAAAAAAAGCACCAAATAAATCTGATTTTGTGGTGGGTGGGGGACAAAAGCATCCTAAGAGATATTGCACCGGAGTCCTGGTGCAGCAGAGGTGGGGGCAGAGCAACAGGGACCAGGCAGGTCGTGGGGACCACTGGGGAGGGACGCAGAAGGCACGGGTCAGGAGGCTGCGAGGGGACGGAGGGTGACAGTGCCCATGCAGGGATGTGTGTGCTGCTGGGAGAGGGCACCACAAAGATCAGGGCGGTGTTGGCCTCTCCTGCCCAAGACTGGTCTGCGGCTGGTACTCTGCTCTCCATCCAGGATTTGTGGGGACGCAGGTGACAAGACAGGACCAGTAGGTGACACGGGAGGAGCTCGCTCCGGTCCAAGGTGTCGTATGTGCGTGCCTGTGCCTGCACTGGGGGATTAACGAGCGGAGAGAGAACCGCAAAAGGAAAATCCTCTCTTGCTTTTCCTTTTCTTGTCGGGTGCACCAACTCCAACGAGTTTGACCGAGCGATGGGTTTTGGTCTGTGGGTGCACGGCCCCTGCCTGCGGGGACGCTGCGCAGGCGGGGATGGGGACCCGCGGAAGATGCAGATCCTTGACCTGCCATGCCCAGCTGTGACCCAGCTCGCACTCTCCATCCTTCCCCCTTCCTTGCACCCTCACACAGAAAGCCCTGGTCCCTTCTGCTCCTCCCGGCACGGAGGGACCCACGCCGACCCAGCAGCAGGATCACCGCCCGGCCCCTGCTGTGCCCAGGGAGCACACCGCAGCGTGGCTGCAGGCACCCCTTGTCCCCACAGTCACCTCCCCATCACTCAGGGTTCAGAGCTCTCAACATTTCAACTTTGCTGCATGTGCTGAGGGAATTAAACCCATCCTGCTCTGGCGCTCACTGCTTCAGCATCCAGAGCAATCCACCAGATTGACAGTGACGGTACGGGGCCTCTACACGCACCTCTCCAAGTATCGGCTCCTTCATCCGTGCATGCACAAGGTGTGAGAAGCACAGCTGCATTCCTAATTATGCCATGGCTACCTAGAATTATTTTGCTTCTTTGCATAATTTAAGAACAGTAATTAAAAGCAGTTAAGCTGCTGTCATAGCTGCCCACAAGAATATCAGGACTTAAAAGCGGGTACAGCTGCAGCCTCTGGAGGGATGTCCAGGACAGGGACAGCAGCACGGACGCACTCAGGGCTCTGTGCTGCACAGGGACAGGCGGCAGAGCCCCGAGATGCACACAGAATTCTCCCACAGCAGAAGAAAACACCTGTTCCCTTCTTACCCACCCCTTCGCCTTTCCCATCCCGCTGCAGTGATTCCAGCCCCAGCCCTGCAGCTGGCTCAGTACAGGATTGGGCCGTGGTCCTGGGCCAGGGAGTGTTTGAGCAACTGCTCCTCCATCCTTACGCCCCTGCAGGAGCCCAGAGAGACCCAGGAGCCGCCCTTGCCCGCGGTATGGGCAGGTACTTATTCCCAGCTACGACCCTCACCCAGGTCAGGAGCCCGCAGTCCTGAGCATGAGACTCAACCCCATACTGGGGATAGACAGTCCCATGGTGCTGATCTGGGGTGGAACAGAGGCAAAACCTTTCATAACTCTTTAAGCCAAAGTAGCTGCATGGGGACACCTCCCCAAGCTGCCACCTTCCTCCACCTGCAGCAGCATCGGTCTGTGGGGACACTGCACACAGCAGGGCTGCTCCCCACCGTCACACCGCTGGTACTGCGCAACTTATATGCTTGTGGCACCAACAATATCGGGGAGCAGGACACCCACCTCCATCCTGACATGTCCTGCAGGGAGATGTGGGGTGAGGGTACCCCCAGCCTTTGCCTCGCAGCACAGCAGCCTGTGCCCTGGGACATCCCGGGGACCCAGCGCCGCACCCTGCCCGCTCCACGGCTCCCTGCCCAGCGCCGGCAGCCCCCATCCTCCTCTCACTCTCCATCTACAACCAGAGCCGCTTGTGACCCCCCCCGAGGGGCCAGCCTGCACTCAGCACCAGGCTTTCATAGAAACCCCCAAACTTTCCCCTGCTCCAGAGGAGCAGGTTCTGCACAAAATCCCATTTTTTCAAGAGTGTCAAAGTGCTGCTCCTGCCCAACACCCCGGCTGGGCCAGGATTGCAGCTTTTTTCACACGTTACACCCCAAAAGCAGCTTGGGCAGCGTTTGCTCTCCCTCTGCTCAGCACACATCACTCCAGGAGCCCACTGAAAGGGGACAGGGAGGAGAAGGACCCCTTGTTTCTCCCTGCAGCCTGTGCAATGGGCATTCCCCACGGTGCTGACCTGTCCCCGTGGATTTGGGTTCTGGGGACGGCAAAGTCACTCTGTGCTCCCACAGACACTCCCGCAATGGCCCCAAGGACCAGGGAGGGGCTGTGGGGTGGGAGATCCCAGCACCCTGCTCCCCTCCCGCAGCACCCTCCCAGACCTGCTTACCTCAATGGCCTTGTAGAAGATGCTGTTCCCGATCTGGACCACCTCCAGGTTCTGCTCCTGCTCGTTCCGCGCACATTTGATGTAGGTCATCCAGCTGCGGTGGTCCTCCTGGCTGGCGTCGATGAAGTACCGCACCGTGCCGTCTTCATTGAACACCTGGGAAGGGGACACAGCGGCTGGTAGCGATGCTGCTGATGACGGACTGAGCCCCTCCACCTCCTGCCTCTGGGATAAAGTCCCCAGCTGGGGACAAGCTCAAAGGCAGCACGGCTACAGGGCTGAGACTCTGCTGGTGGCTGCTGCCTGCAGACAGGAGATGCCCGAATCCATCCTGCTCATGGTGCTGGACTGCACACTCGCCGTGGGGCTGAGGAAAGACGCTGCCCTCAGTGGTGTCATGACTGGTCCCACCAGCCCATGGCCACCCGGATAACCCAGCTCTGTACCTCATCCCCTTCCCGACAGAGCCCCACAGCAGCTCGGCCCTGACTCGGCCCGGAAAGGGGCTGGTCAGCACCTGCTGCTGCCCAAGGGAACAGGGACATCCCCGGGCGGAGGAGGAGGAAGGTCCCTGCCAGACCTGGCCCTTGGAGGAAGATGCTTTGCAGGGTGGCAGGAAAGGTGAGGCAAGTTTTTACCAGGCATAAAATTATACTAATAAAAAATAACAATTAATAATAATTTAAAAGTGCAAGTCTGACACTCCGTGAAACAAAAAAAATTAGGAAAGCCTGCTCTATGAGCTGGGCATTCATGGGTGATGTC